AGGTATCCACGATGAGGAAGTGAACTTTCATTTCAGTTTCATTTGCTCTAGCCTTCTCCTTGTGATCTTGGGAACAAAGTTTCCATAAGATTGTGCTGACTTAAGTGAGAATTCACAAACAAATGGGAGGAAACAGGCTGCTTTCAGCAAACAACACCAACTTCTCAGTAAATAGGAAAAGCTACAACACAAGAACCCAGCAGTTAATGTTATAAGTAGAGTCCAGAATCCTAACAGCCCAATATCTACATCTTCAGTTTTCAAATTTTCAGCATGCAACTCTTTAACGACCAGGTAGGCGATGGCAGGAGGAAAGCGAGGACTGCGGCAAACAGCAGCGAACAGAGAGTAGAGAGAACCTGGACAGGCCACCGCCAAGCCAGGGTTCAGCTGCCCACAGCAGCAGCAGGGACGATGGCCTTGCTTTGTTCGGCAGGAGCGGCGACCCATCCACGCCGGAAGGCCGGGACCAACCGGCCCCTTCTGGGCTCGGATGAAACTCCGGCCGGCCAAGAACTCCGCCCTCAAGTCGCGGGCCACTTGATCGCCTCCTTCCTCTTCGTCCACTGGTCCCTCACCCCAACTCTCCCCGAGTGGAGATGGAATTCAAAGGCGAGAGGGAGGGACCGGGGTGCCCAGCCGGCGACTCCGCGGACCTTGACCCCTCCGATAATTGAGAACTTTAAAAAGAAATTATGAGCCGCTGCCTGCCTCACAAGCGCAAGGTCCCAAGCTCGATCCCCGGTACCAAAAAAATCACAAAAAGACAAAGCAAAGCAAAACCCCAAAAACGGAAATGAGGAAAACAAGCTTCCCAGCAAGCATTTACTTCAGGCTGAGATGCATGAATACAGTGCATGGAAGAAATTTAAGTTTTTGTGGCCCAAATTTGTTAAATAAAATGCACAAAATTCAAAAAAAAAAAAAGAAAAGGCTGAGACAAAGGCAACAAAACTTTGTGGTTTGTTTGTGTATGATGAAATACAAGTATTAAAGGAAGAATCAGATTTGAGTTAGAGATTATTAATTATACTTTTCAATATCTTGAAGGCATGGTTTCTTTTCATTAATTTTTGGAACTAGTCTCAGTAAATATCTTTGGCATACAAAAAATGAAAGTTGAGTGTGTGATGAATCAATGAATGAATGAATTACTCTCAGGTGAAAATTCATGGGCAAATGTCTTTCAAGTAGTCTGTTGTAGCCATGACATGTCATGGTCTATTAAATGCTCTAGACTGTGTTTTCATCTCTGAGAAAATCATGAGTCACTGTGTCCTCTCTCGCATGGTGGCCCACCCTCATGCTATAGGGTGAACTTCTTTTCCTACTTGCCCCAAACTTGCTTTCCAGAGCCTGTTTCTTTTCCTACCTTTAGTAAAACTTTACTACCATTT